GATGGTTCCCTAAAGCTTCCCTCAGAAAGTCCTCAAAATGATAGAAAAACAAGAATTTCACCTTTTACATTTTCTTGTTTATTTCACACACATCTACTCTTGAGCGGCCACACTGGCCAAAGCTGGTACTGCAAGTAAAACGTAATTTTGCTCTGTGGCAGCCACTCATGGCTGAATCTGGAACTGCAGGTTAAAACTCAATAGTGCCTTATAGAGGTCAGTGTGGGAACTGCAGTCCATGAGGTTTTTGCATCGTCCTCTCCCGTAAACGAAGTATGATACTATTTTTAAAATTATGGAAGTTCAAAATATGAAATGTGTAAAAATACAGATTTATAAATACACAATAAAACTGCCATTTATACATTTCTAGAGACAAAGTATAGAGTAATGAAAGTGAAATTAGCTTCAAATTTGAGAATATGAATGATGCCAACTGAAAGCACATCATTAACATGACTTTATGGTAACGCTTTATATTAAGGTGTGCTTGTTAAGTATTAATAAGGTATTAATAGACATTAGCATCATGCTTATAGATTGCTTGTATGTACTTATAAACATATTAATAAGCTGCTCATTTCACTATTCTCTAAATTATGTTGTTCTAGTTATATGCTTTTAAGCATTTAATAAGTAATTAGTAAGATACTTAGTAAAGGAGGAATATGTTTATAAATATATGAATAAGCTGCTTATTAAGCTATTATCGATACCATGTTAATAGGCCACTAACAATATGCCTATAAAGATATTAATAAGCTGCTTATTAATAGGCAATAGTGGTAATAGGCCACTAAAAATATGCGTTAATAAACTGCTTATTACACTATTTTGCAGTACCCTAATCTAAAGCGAGGAGCATTTTTGTTAATGCAGAAAAAAACACAACATTGATCTAAGATGTTTTTATTTATTCAAACAGCAACAATTACAGGAGCCATGATGAACCCACTCATGCTCCGACCTGCTCTGTTCATGAATTTGGCTTTGGCAAAACAGTGAATCAACTGACTTCACGAGCCTGAGAGATTAGCGGAACTCGCCTATTTTTGGGCATCGTCTGGTCCTCCCGGTTCTGCGCAGTGGACGAGCTCCCATGATGCTTTGCGGCAGATACGCGTGCGTGGCTGTCATGCACGTGCACAGAGGGGCCGTGCTCTGACCAATCAGAGCTGCTGATCAGAGCGAGAGTTAGAGCGGGAGCCAGACGAGTAGAGTTTGTGGCAGTAAAATGTGGATTTAAAGGACAACTCACCCTCAAATCCACTTTTTTTTGCTTATAAACGGTATAAATTAGTGTCCAATGGTGTTGTCTACATATCCTCAGTGTTGTGCCAGTTCACAGCTTTTCTGAACTAGTTCAAGTTCAGTTCAAACATGCTCAAAGTGAACAGTTCACTTTCAAAGTTCACATTTTTATTTATTAACTAGTTCAAAGTTCAGTTCATTTAACTTTTTTTGTGAGATACTTAAATAAATATTTTTTTCACACTACAAGCTATATATATATATATATATATATATAATATATATATATATCTATATATATATAGATATATATACAGGATATATAGTATATATATATCCTGTACACCCACAGGAGGAGAGCCTTTTGACTAGAAAACAGACCAGATTTACATGGTTTTCAATGGGAGCCAAACGGAGTTGCTCCATCTCTGCTCATAAACTACAGACAGTAATGCGCTGCAGTGCGTGTGTCTATACTTCATGTCAAATGTAAACGGTGTAAACTTTGTCGCTAACTCACCCTGTGTTTTCATCACGACTCGGGCACATGTGAAAAGCACCAGCTCACAGCGCCGCACCGTAACACGGAGTCGGGGTGCGTTCACAGACGGTGGAAACCGTAGGAATTTTTAGATTTCGGCGGAAAAAGTGCGGTAATACAGGAGGGAGGAACTTTTTCTTGTCGCGTTTTAAAAGAGAAAACAGATTCCAACGTTCATAGTGATGTCTGCCGTTCATGACACATAAAATGAACTAATTCACGTTCAAGTTCTTTTTTTGAAAATGTGTTGCGTTCAGTTCAATGTTCACGAAAAAATGAGCGTGTTCAATGAACGCGTTCTTTTGAACTCGTTCACGCACAACACTGCATATCCTGGTCATAATTTTGTCACTTTGGTGCAAATTAGTTGAAAGTTAAACTTTCTGCCTAAAACCGTCTGTGAGGCGCCATCTGCTGGCGACCTGTATTACTACATTTGAATTTTGAATCTGGCGCCTGAGACCTGACGTCAGCAGCCCCCCGCCCAGAGCAATGTAAACGGCCCAGTCTCGTTCACGCCCCCTTCAGTCCTCCAGGCCACGCCCATTTAGAGGAAGATTTGAACAGGAAATGTGAGTGACGTAAGCTCCGAGGAGCGGGGGTGAGAACCACTTTAAAGAAAACTGAAGGATTTAAGAAGAAAAAAAGTTCAGGATGACAAGGGACACTAAAATCCCCAGATACGAACTTTATGAAAGCTGTGGGTTCTCTATCAGGTTCTCTGTCAGCTGAGGTCGAGCTGTTTTAATTTACATTGAGTTCTATGGGACTTTTTCGGGGTAGCCCTCATGAATTTAGTCTGCAGTACCACAGCGCCCCCTGTGCCCATGGGTGGGACAGCTATAAGCTAGGAAAACACTATCCAGTTATTATTATAGTTCCATGGTTGTGCCACAGGTGCGTTGTATACATGGATCTATTATAATAACTGGATAGGGTATTACTAGCTTGTAGCTCGGGGGATTCTCGTGGTACTGCAGACTAAATTCACGTGGGCTACCCAGAAATTGTCCCATAGAACTCAATGTAAACTAAAACAGCTCGACCTCAGCTGACAGAGAACCTACAGCTTTCATAAAGGTCGGATTTTGTGGGGATTTTAGTGTCCCTTGTCATCCTGAACTTTTTTCTTCTTAAATCCTTCAGTTTTCTTTAAATCCACACTTTACTGCCACAAACTCTACTCATCTGGCTCTTACTCCCGCTCTAACTCCCACTCTGATCAGCAGCTCTGATTGGTCAGAGCTGCCCCTATGTGCACGTGCATGACAGCCACGCACGCGTATCTGCCGCAAAGCATCATGGGAGCTCGTCCACTGCGCAGAACCGGGAGGACCAGACGATGCCCAAAAATAGGCGAGTTCCGCTAATCTCTCAGGCTCGTGAAGTCAGTTGATTCACTGTTTTGCCAAAGCCAAATTCATGAACAGAGCAGGTCGGAGCATGAGTGGGTTCATCATGGCTCCTGAAGTTACTAACAAACTTTTGGCACAAACTTCATTTTGATTTTTTTTTTTCATTTAGACTGTAATTGTTGCTGTTTGAATAAATAAAAACATCTTAGGTCAATGTTGTGTTTTTTTCTGCATTAACAAAAATGCTCCTCGCTTTAGATTAGGGTACTGCAAAATTGTGTAATAAGCAGTTTATTAACGCATATTTTTAGTGGCCTATTACCACTATTGCCTATTAATAAGCAGCTTATTAATATCTTTATAGGCATATTGTTAGTGGCCTATTAACATGGTATCGATAATAGTTTAATAAGCAGCTTATTCATATATTTATAAACATATTCCTCCTTTAATAAGTATCTTACTAATTACTTATTAAATGCTTAAAAGCATATAACTAGAACAACATCATTTAGAGAATAGTGAAATGAGCAGCTTATTAATGTTTATAAGTACATATAAGCAATCTATAAGCATGATGCTAATGTCTATTAATACCTTATTAATACTTAATAAGCACACCTTAATATAAAGCGTTACCGACTTTATTTACATTAATCAAGGTTTTTTCTACATTCAAACGATCACCACTGATCACCTCTGTCATAGAGGCCAGGTCTGAGTCCAGGTCTGGATCTAGGTCTGGGTCTAGATCTGAGTAGGTCTGAGTTCAGGACTGGGTCCAGGTCCTAGTCCAGGACTGGGTCCAGGTCTGGGGCTGAGTCCAGGACTGTCATATATATTTGTGTGACTTTCAGTCAAAATAAGTAATAAATATGTTTTTGTATTTTATGCTTTAACAATGTTGTTCTTCCATAGATGTCGACAAACTCTGGAAATACCACTGATACAGACGCTCCGCCTTTGGAGAGAACCCACAGTGTGTTTGTACGTTTACATTATTTCATTTGTAATCATTTTTTAAACATTGATTTATGCACGTTTCATACATATGGTTTTCATCCATCATCTAAATGCCACAATAACCAATGGGTACTACGCAACTGGGAGCCAAGCAGCTAAACTTGATGGCATTAAAAAACAAATTAATTAATTAATTAAAAGACAAATTTTTATTGATCCGTCGTAGAGGAAATTACTCTGATACTTTTGTTTTGGTTTTTGCAGCTGACTTTACCAGTAGAATCCAAAGCTTCAGTTGGACCTCAGAGACAATGGAGACAGAGCTCACGAGTTTGAGGTTATAAAAGCTGGCAGTGGAACTCTGGCACCGTGGAAACAGACAGATGGTAATTCTTATTCACGCGTTGATTCATTTTAGATAAAAACTAACTATTGTTTCTGTGCTCTACAAGAACCAGTGGATGAAGAAGCAAAGGATCCCTCAGAAACTGAAGCGCTGCAGACAACAACACAAGCTGAGCTCTCTACCAGCACATGCTCAAAGTCCCTTAGGTTCAGTCCAGGTTCAGTCCAGGTTCAGTCCAGGTTCAGTCCTGGTTCAGTCCAGGTTCAGTCCAGGTTTGGTCCAGGTTCAGTCCAGGTTTGGTCCAGGGTCAGGTTCAGTTCAGGTTCAGTTCTTTATTGAACTTTGTATGAGTAAATAAAGTTGTGTGAAGCCCTGTCTGTGAAATGTGCTTGAAATAAAGATTATTGCTGAGTGTTGTGGATTCACGAGCTCTTGAAGCAATTCCCCAAAAACATTATTTTAAATTTATCATAAAATTCAAATCTGTTGATATGTATTGAACAAAATTCAGATTAATTCTAATTGTAAATCTTGCATGTTGCAGATGAGTAGCCCATCTTCAGACGCCTGGTCCAGTGATGATGATGACGATGAGTCCTTCCTCCTCCTGGAAGCCCGAGCTCCTCTTCATTATCCAGCAACGTTTCAGTCTTTTCTGACACATGTGAGTCCAGACCAAAGACAAGACGCACCAAAAACTACCACCGCCTCAAAAACAACTCTGGGACAAGTGCATTGACTGTAAATACAAATCTCATTACTGTGTTTACTGTCAAAAGACTAATCTAAAAATAGCCCGTCATTTAGAGATGAAGCACACGGATGAAACGGATGCTTGTAGTTTTACAGATCGCTCCAAGGAAAGACACATCCTGAGTCTGAGAAATGAGGGCGACTGACAGCATAATCAGAAAGTGCTAAAAGAAGGTAAAGAGGAGCTTGTCACCTGGAAGCAGCTCTGTTAACTCCTGTTAAAGTAGTGCTAGAATTTAATATGCTGCTCTCCAGAATATAACTACAATATGTGTTTGTAATATTTCAGGTGTTCATTTTGACATGTTCAGATGAATTATGTTAAAAAACCGGCTTTGAAGTCACACTTTCACTTCCGCATAGAAACGCTAGGGGGCGCCCCAATGCAGCGTATGACGTAGGAGAATGATCTATACAGCAGCGAGTGAATTGATGATGGATCTGGGGAATAATCGGGGGTTTCAGTGTCATCTGAGATAAATAAAGCACATCTTATCTTATCTGAACACAGTGTCTGTCCTTGGAGCAGTTGGAGAAGCCTCGCTCTGCTCCTTTCGTTTAAAGACCGTTGCGACGGCTTCAGGTTTTAATGTAGCCTTTGTCTTGTGTCCCAAAGACGCTGCCACTGAGTTAATGTGTTCAAACGAGTCCTGAAGTGCTCAGAACAGACGCTCCTGCAGCAGACAGACAGGGCAGGTCCAACAGACACCACAGACGCTCCTGCAGCAGACAGACAGGGCAGGTCCAACAGACACCACAGACGCTCCTGCAGCAGACAGACAGGGCAGGTCCAACAGACACCACAGACGCTCCTGCAGCAGACAGACAGGGCAGGTCCAACAAGACACCACAGACGCTCCTGCAGCAGACAGACAGGGCAGGTCCAACAGACACCACAGACGCTCCTGCAGCAGACAGACAGGGCCGGTCCAACAGACACCACAGACGCTCCTGCAGCAGACAGACAGGGAAGGTCCAACAGACACCACAGACGCTCCTGCAGCAGACAGACAGGGCAGGTCCAACAGACACCACAGACGCTCCTGCAGCAGACAGACAGGGCAGGTCCAACAGACACCACAGACGCTCCTGCAGCAGACAGACAGGGCAGGTCCAACAGACACCACAGACGCTCCTGCAGCAGACAGACAGGGCAGGTCCAACAGACCCCACAGACGCTCCTGCAGCAGACAGACAGGGCAGGTCCAGACACCACAGACGCTCCTGCAGCAGACAGACAGGGCCGGTCCAACAGACACCACAGACGCTCCTGCAGCAGACAGACAGGGAAGGTCCAACAGACACCACAGACGCTCCTGCAGCAGACAGACAGGGCAGGTCCAACAGACACCACAGACGCTCCTGCAGCAGACAGACAGGGCAGGTCCAACAGACACCACAGACGCTCCTGCAGCAGACAGACAGGGCAGGTCCAACAGACACCACAGACGCTCCTGCAGCAGACAGACAGGGCAGGTCCAACAGACCCCACAGACGCTCCTGCAGCAGACAGACAGGGCAGGTCCAGACACCACAGACGCTCCTGCAGCAGACAGACAGGGCAGGTCCAACAGACACCACAGACGCTCCTGCAGCAGACAGACAGGGCAGGTCCAACAGACACCACAGACGCTCCTGCAGCAGACAGACAGGGCAGGTCCAACAGACACCACAGACGCTCCTGCAGCAGACAGACAGGGCCGGTCCAACAGACACCACAGACGCTCCTGCAGCAGGCAGACAGGGAAGGTCCAACAGACACCACAGACGCTCCTGCAGCAGACAGACAGGGCAGGTCCAACAGACACCACAGACGCTCCTGCAGCAGACAGACAGGGCAGGTCCAACAGACCCCACAGACGCTCCTGCAGCAGACAGACAGGGCAGGTCCAACAGACACCACAGACGCTCCTGCAGCAGACAGACAGGGCAGGTCCAACAGACACCACAGACGCTCCTGCAGCAGACAGACAGGGCCGGTCCAACAGACACCACAGACGCTCCTGCAGCAGACAGACAGGGAAGGTCCAACAGACACCACAGACGCTCCTGCAGCAGACAGACAGGGCAGGTCCAACAGACACTATAGACGCTCCTGCAGCAGACAGACAGGGCAGGTCCAACAGACCCCACAGACGCTCCTGCAGCAGACAGACAGGGCAGGTCCAACAGACACCACAGACGCTCCTGCAGCAGACAGACAGGGCAGGTCCAACAGACACCACAGACGCTCCTGCAGCAGACAGACAGGGCAGGTCCAACAGACACCACAGACGCTCCTGCAGCAGACAGACAGGGCAGGTCCAACAGACACCACAGACGCTCCTGCAGCAGACAGACAGGGAAGGTCCAACAGACACCACAGACGCTCCTGCAGCAGACAGACAGGGCAGGTCCAACAGACACCACAGACGCTCCTGCAGCAGACAGACAGGGCAGGTCCAACAGACACCACAGACGCTCCTGCAGCAGACAGACAGGGCAGGTCCAACAGACACCACAGACGCTCCTGCAGCAGACAGACAGGGCAGGTCCAACAGACACCACAGACGCTCCTGCAGCAGACAGACAGGGCAGGTCCAACAGACACCACAGACGCTCCTGCAGCAGACAGACAGGGCCGGTCCAACAGACACCACAGACGCTCCTGCAGCAGACAGACAGGGAAGGTCCAACAGACACCACAGACGCTCCTGCAGCAGACAGACAGGGCAGGTCCAACAGACACCACAAACGCTCCTGCAGCAGACAGACAGGGCAGGTCCAACAGACCCCACAGACGCTCCTGCAGCAGACAGACAGGGCAGGTCCAACAGACACCACAGACGCTCCTGCAGCAGACAGACAGGGCAGGTCCAACAGACACCACAGACGCTCCTGCAGCAGACAGACAGGGCAGGTCCAACAGACACCACAGACGCTCCTGCAGCAGACAGACAGGGCAGGTCCAACAGACACCACAGACGCTCCTGCAGCAGACAGACAGGGCAGGTCCAACAGACACCACAGACGCTCCTGCAGCAGACAGACAGGGAAGGTCCAACAGACACCACAGACGCTCCTGCAGCAGACAGACAGGGCAGGTCCAACAGACACCACAGACGCTCCTGCAGCAGACAGACAGGGCAGGTCCAACAGACACCACAGACGCTCCTGCAGCAGACAGACAGGGCAGGTCCAACAGACACCACAGACGCTCCTGCAGCAGACAGACAGGGCAGGTCCAACAGACACCACAGACGCTCCTGAAGCAGACAGACAGGGCAGGTCCAACAGACCCCACAGACGCTCCTGCAGCAGACAGACAGGGCAGGTCCAACAGACACCACAGACGCTCCTGCAGCAGACAGACAGGGCAGGTCCAACAGACACCACAGACGCTCCTGCAGCAGACAGACAGGGCAGGTCCAACAGACACCACAGACGCTCCTGCAGCAGACAGACAGGGCAGGTCCAACAGACACCACAGACGCTCCTGCAGCAGACAGACAGGGCAGGTCCAACAGACACCACAGACGCTCCTGAAGCAGACAGACAGGGCAGGTCCAACAGAACCCACAGACGCTCCTGCAGCAGACAGACAGGGCAGGTCCAACAGACACCACAGACGCTCCTGCAGCAGACAGACAGGGCAGGTCCAACAGACACCACAGACGCTCCTGCAGCAGACAGACAGGGCAGGTCCAACAGACACCACAGACGCTCCTGCAGCAGACAGACAGGGCAGGTCCAACAGACCCCACAGACGCTCCTGCAGCAGACAGACAGGGCAGGTCCAACAGACCCACAGACGCTCTGAGCAGACAGACAGGGCAGGTCCAACAGACCCCACAGACGCTCCTGCAGCAGACAGACAGACAGGGCAGGTCCAACAGACACCACAGACGCTCCTGCAGCAGACAGACAGGGCAGGTCCAACAGACACCACAGACGCTCCTGCAGACAGACAGACAGGGCAGGTCCAACAGACACCACAGACGCTCCTGCAGACAGACAGACAGGGCAGGTCCAACAGACACCACAGACGCTCCTTCAGCAGACAGACAGACAGGGCAGGTCCAACAGACACCACAGACGCTCCTGCAGCAGACAGACAGGGCAGGTCCAACAGACACCACAGACGCTCCTGCAGCAGACAGACAGGGCAGGTCCAACAGACACCACAGACGCTCCTGCAGCAGACAGACAGGGCAGGTCCAACAGACCCCACAGACGCTCCTGAAGCAGACAGACAGGGCAGGTCCAACAGACCCCACAGACGCTCCTGCAGCAGACAGACAGACAGGGCAGGTCCAACAGACACCACAGACGCTCCTGCAGCAGCAGACAGCAGGCAGTCCAACAGACACCACAGACGCTCCTGCAGCAGACAGACAGGGCAGGTCCAACAGACACCACAGACGCTCCTGCAGACAGACAGACAGGGCAGGTCCAACAGACACCACAGACGCTCCTGCAGACAGACAGGGCAGGTCCAACAGACACCACAGACGCTCCTTCAGCAGACAGACAGACAGGGCAGGTCCAACAGACACCACAGACGCTCCTTCAGCAGACAGACAGGGCAGGTCCAACAGACACCACAGACGCTCCTGCAGCAGACAGACAGACAGGGCAGGTCCAACAGACCCCACAGACGCTCCTTCAGCAGACAGACAGGGCAGGTCCAACAGACACCACAGACGCTCCTGCAGCAGACATACGCACTTTTTCCACCTCGTTATTGGTGATAAGGCGAAGAAAAGTTTTTTAAAAAAAGAGTTTGAGTAAACACAGTGTAGTAGAGGAGGCGCGTGTTTGGATCCAGAATGTCATTCACCTGCGTCACAATCAGGGGCATGTTTTTAACCGGTCGTTTCAGAAAATGTAATAATCTTTTTTTCCGTTTTCTTTTTTCCCCAAAATGTTTATACGGCTCTAACCTTACAAAAACTGCAATTGGTAAAATAAAATTTTAGTACTACTTTAATGATTATTTGCCATGTCAGCACAGCTTTGCCATGTTTAAAAAAGGGATCTATGGAGACATGATAAAGTTTGTAGGAATAAAAAGGAAAGCACTGATTTGGGAGCAAAAAGAAAACGTATTGAAGCGGTCTCTTCTGTGCTCCTTCCGATGCAGAAGACCTCAGAGCGAACCCAAACTGTAATTCTAAGCATGTTGCTTAGTTCAGTTCAGTTTATTACAAATATACAGTCAAAAACATTTTAACATCCATTTATAGATGATAGTGCATATTCATAAACAAGATAATTGCAAGATAATATCACGGCACAAATCCAAAGTGATGACATGATTTGTATATTTGGAGATTCACTGTTTGCCAGAAAAGGACGTGAACAATCGCTACACCGGAACATCGCACAGAAACTGAGGGAACTCGGACGTTTCATTTTAGCAGCTAAAAAAGTGGTAACCTTCAATTCAGAAAAGTAAGAAAAACCTTCAACAGCTGTGAAGAAAGGCTTTTCTCTCAAAGCAGCGACCAACGCTTAGATTGGTCTCTGCATCATGAAGTCGGATGTTGTCGGTGAAAACAAAGCAAAAAGTTTAAAGAGCTTCTGGACAAAATGTGGTCAGACATTAAAGAAAACTTCTGGATCTCTCCAACCAAGAGCTGGAGCAGGCTGCAAAGTCCTGGTTCTGACCTGGTTCAGTCGTGGTCATCTGGATAAACATAAAACATGATTCAACTTTTTAATCTAATCAAAGTCTTCAGTAAAGTCTTATGCTGCGTTCAGACCAAACGCGTCTTGAGCGTGCAAAAGCGTCGGGTCTACATTGAAATAACATGGGTCCGCCATGCGTCCCGCGCTTCGAGGAGCGTCAAGAGATCCCGAGGGCGCGTCTTTGAGCGTGTTGCGCTTCTGGCGTGGCGCGTTTTGAGCGTTTTGACGCCTCCAACGCGGCCGACGCTAGAGTTGAACATTGTTGAACTTTTGGGAGAAGACGCGAACGTCGACCAATCAGGAGCTTTCTCCTACGGTGACGACAGGACCGAGGGGGAAGACAACACATCAGCTGTGGAGGACAAGTTGTGCTGTTAGCCCATTAGCCCCGCGGACTAAACTACTGTGACACGGAGGAGGTCAGTGAGGAGGTTGGTGTCTCAGGTTATTTAAGTTATTTAAACTTTTCACAATCGCTAATACTTCCCTGAACAATATCTGTAACGTCACAGGGAGAAACAAACCCACAGATTATAGCTACACAGAGGAAACAGTCCATGGAGACAGCAACTGTAGTATGCTAACATGTGGTATGCTAACATGTGGTATGCTAACATGTAGTATGCTAACACGTTGTATGCTAACACGTTGTATGCTAACACGTTGTATGCTAACACGTTGTATGCTAACACGTTGTATGCTAACATGTTATCTGTATTCAAATTAAATGGATTGTGTATATCCTTTTTAATCCCATACTGGGATTAAAGACTGATTAAAACGATTGATTAAAAAGATTAAAAATTGAGACTGGGAATACTGTATATTAACATTTACTGTATATATTTGGCTTATTATGAAGCACTTTTCATACAATAGTTTAATATATATATGTATAGAATGATGAAATAAAAGCACATTATACAGATGTTTTAAATGTAAATATTTTAAATGTAAATGTGGTTGACGTGGCTCTGTCAGATCACTTCTGTGTATTTTTTGACATGTGTTTTGATAGTAAACAACCATATATATCTGAATCTGCAATTGTCAGACACAGACACATAAATGAAAACACAACCGAACTATTCATGGGAATGATAAACTTTGAGAACACATTGTGTTCTACTGTTGACGAATTGTTTAACTCTGTCACCGCCAATGTTATAAATGTTCTGGACATCATCGCTCCTGTGAAGGTTAAAATGATTACAAATAAGCCAAAGGCCCCCTGGACTAAAATGGACTCAGTCATGGTACAGAAGAGAGAGTGCCGTAGGGCCGAGCGGAAGTGGCGAAAATCCAATCTCCAGGTTGATCATGAGATCTTCAAAAATGAGTTGTGCAAGTTTAACAGGGTGCTACGTAGAACAAGAGAAATTTATTTTTCTAAAACAATTGATGGCTGCAATAATAATCTACGACTTATGTTTTCAACAGTTAACGGATTAACAAACCCCCCTGTTCAGCTGCCATTCGAATTTGCTTCAGAATCTAAATGTAATGAGTTTGCACAATTTTTCAAGGACAAGGTTCAGAGCATCAAAAACGCCATCACCTCCAAGGCAGAAATAACATTACAACAGCCGGTGAGGCTGTTTGAGCTATCGCACTTTGAACCAACAGATAATGAAACTGTCCAAGATGTTGTCTCTAGCCTTAGTTCCTCCACATGTAGCCTGGATGTACTACCCACTAAATTTTTTAAGTCTGTTTTGAGCAGTCTTTTACCTTTGCTCACACAAATAGTGAACATGTCTCTCTCATCTGGAACATTTCCAATGGCCCTGAAAACGGCAGTCATCAGACCCCTCCTAAAAAAGAGGAGTCTAGATGCCACAGTTCTTAAGAATTATCGCCCCATTTCAAATCTGCCGTTTATGGGAAAAATTCTGGAAAAAGTTGCTTACCAACAACTTACAGAATTCTTAGTAACTAATAGTTCGTTTGATGCGCTCCAGTCCGGCTTTAGAGCCAATCACAGCACTGAGACTGCACTAGTGAAGGTTACAAATGACATCCGAGTTAACACCGACACAGGAAAAGTCACAGTTTTAGTAATGTTGGATCTGAGTGCTGCGTTCGACACAGTCGACCACGAGATCCTCATGCAGAGACTAGAGCACTGGGTGGGTGTCACTGGGACTGCCCTAAGTTGGTTTAGGTCTTACCTAGAAGACAGGAAATACTTGGTTCAGATAGGAAACGGTGTCTCAGATCATATGGCTCTGACCTGCGGAGTGCCACAGGGATCAATTCTGGGGCCTCTTCTGTTCAATATTTACATGCTGCCATTAGGTCAGTTAATACGCTCCAACAATGTATCCTACCACAATTACGCTGATGACACTCAAATTTATGTCTCACTTACTGCAGGAGAACATGGACCAGTGGAATCACTCCTTCACTGTACTCAACAGATTAGTGATTGGATGCAAAATAACTTCCTTCAGCTAAACGCAGACAAAACAGAATTGATTGTCTTTGGTCCTCAGAAACAAAGGGAGAGCGTTATTCGTCACCTCCAGTCTCTCTCCCTGGAACCTGTAGGCAAGGTCAGAAACCTAGGAGTTATAATGGACTCAGACTTAAATTTTAACAGTCATATCAAATCAGTAACATCAGCAGCATTTTACCATCTGAAAAACATTGCCAAAATTAGAAACATAGTGTCTAAATCAGATCTGGAGATTCTCATCCATGCATTTGTCTCCAGTAGGTTAGACTACTGCAATGGCCTGCTCACAGGTCTCTCCAAACAGGCTGTAAAACAACTGCAGTATGTCCAAAATGCTGCAGCTCGAGTCCTGACCAGGACCAGGAAATATGACCACATTAGTCCAGTTCTCAGGTCTCTGCACTGGCTTCCTGTGGCTCAGAGAATAGACTTCAAAGCAGCACTGCTTGTGTACAAGTCTCTCCATGGCCTCGCACCAAAGTACTTAAGCGACTTGTTAGTCCCATATGAACCGGCCCGGACTCTGAGGAGCACAGGAGGTAGCCTCTTACTGGTTCCAAGAGTCAGAACTAAACATGGGGAGGCAGCGTTTGAGATTTATGGAGCTAAAATCTGGAACAATCTTCCTGAAGATGTGAGGCTAGCACCTACTCTGGCAATTTCTAAATCAGGGCTAAAAACTGTTCTTTTTAGCTGTGCATACGGCTGAAGGATTTTATTGATACATACTCTTTTTTTTTTTTTTTTTTTTCATTACTTGTGATTTTATTCTGTTTTTAATGTATTTATTGATGTCTCTGATTTGTCTGATATTATGTGGGTTGTGAGGCGCTTTGGGTGGCCTTGTGTTGGAAAGGCGCCATACAAATAAAGTTGATTGATTGATTGATGATGTTTTCTTTGTCATTAATAAAAGGCATTTGCAGATGACAGTCTGGCTGACGCATGCGCAGATATGTTATTTGTATAGCACAATCATAGACTGTTTATATAAACAGACCTAGTCAGGCCTTTCTCTGCCGTTCTAACTCATGGGCCAAAAATTGGGCTTTCATGAGGTGATTCAAAATGGTTGCGGGGGCTGGAAAATGTGATAAAACGCATCTGTGCATGCGTCAGCCGGCGCAGCTCCATTCATTTCACCGAGTCTGGACCAAAAAACGAACCGTGTAAGTTTTACTGACGATCTGGCACATGGTGAAGGGTGAAGCAGGCTTTAAACAGCAGAGGTGAGGTTGATGATGATGATGAGCTGCAGGTGTTAGAGGGCTGAACCAGGGGCAGGACCAGGGGCTGAACTAGGGGCAGGACCAGTTACCAGTTACTCGCCGAGGACAACCTCGGCGAGTAACAGCCCTGCTAGCTCTCTATAACTGGACGTTCAAAACTAGAACTCTCTCCAACTACATGAAAACTGAACAGAGAATTTGAAACTTCAGCAGTTAGTGACCCAAATATATACTCAACCTAAATTCATGAATCAGATCCTCTGAAAATGCATCCTAAAATGTATTATTAATGTTTATCGTTACATCCAGGTTTACCGCGGTCGCATATTGTCGCATTAAAACAGTGTTTTTTCATGAAAACGTGAACAGAAAATTCTGAAAACCTCTGTGCACGTGTATTAAGAATGTATATGTATAATGTATTCTCCGATTAACACTTAATGTGTTTATTGTTACACCATGGATTAGGGCTGAAACAACTAATCGATTAATCGACAACTCATCGATTATTGAAATAGTCGACAACTATTTTAGTAATCGATTAATCGTTTTCTGGTTCACACGGACTCAAACAGAGCAAAAATGACATTAAAATGTAGTATTTTTGATTAAAACCGACTTTGTTTTTATAATTTCATGGATATCTGTCTGTCTCATCCAATCAGAGCAGAATTAGCACAAAGAGCCTGTTACAAACATTTACTTTAAGTTTACGACATCAATACGTCCTCGAGTGTTGCCACTTTAGCTTTTTGTGATGAAAAAATATTTTTTTTCTACACAATTCACAGCCAAGCGATTACTCAATTAATCGTAAAAATAATCGATAGATTAATCGATTAAAAAATAATTGTTAGTTGCAGCTCTACCATGGATCTATGTGTGGCTACACTGCAGTGGAAATAATGAGATTACATTCAAATCAATGGAGCTTTCTGCGTCTACTGTGAGGAGCCGTATATTTTATTAATAAATACTAGTACGGGGCACCCTGGAGCACGGCTCAGTCGTTCACATGTCTGCTGGCCTTCGGTAAGTCAGATACCCTGTGAACCGGGTCAGGTCCTGTGTGAGACCAAATATATAACAGCTATGCTACAAGCTAAGCTACAAGCTATGCTACAAGCTAAGCTACAGTCTATGCTACAAGCTAAGCTACAGTCTATGGAGCAACCCCACGTTGCAGTCAGACAGATATGTTTTATCCTTAAACTTCTGTTTGTTTCGGAATAACACTAAATCCGCCATCAAATTGATTTCACTTAGCAGAAATGAAATGATCCGAGCATATTAAGTAAGTAAGTAAGTAAGTTTTTATTTATATACCGCCTTTTCACTGCAGATCAGAGTCTCAAAGCGGTTTACAATTGTTAATTTTGGGCATTTGTCTCTCACTCCACACAGAGATGGGAGCGGGGTCGCCAGTACAGGAGGCATATGCCAGAACTATTGTACATATTTTTAGTGGTAGGGGAAACCGGAGTACCCGGAGGAAACCTACGCAGACACGGGGAGAACATGCAAATGTTGTTGCGTATGGTTGTGCCATTTCTCTCTCGTTTCTTTGAGATTTCTTCTGTTTTTGAGCCGTGTGAAGTAAGGACGGCTGCAGTCGGTAACACAACTTATTTTCCCTGTCTCTCCTTTTGCTGCAGCCAAAAACGGCAACAATTTTGAACATGTTTATGCGGTCCCGGGTGCACGCCACTATCATACAGCGTTTGCTTGTCCTCCAGTATGGCGGATGCCCCGCGAGTTTGAGGCATTGTGACGTCACGAGAGATATCTCTATTATGCTGCAATTTATCTAAACAAGAAAAGTTGTCTAGAAATGAGAAAAAATAAAACTAGCTTATACTATGGTTTTAAAGTGTGCGTGTGTATTTTGTTATTTCTACATAATAAAACATCTGAAAACAATGAACAGCTTCCATGAAAAGCTCACAGAGGGTTCCAGATAGGGCTGCAGTGTTCTGATCCAGGCCTTCAGTGTTCCAGGGCTGCAGTGTTCTGATCCAGGCCTTCAGTGTTCCAGGGCTGCAGTGTTCTGATCCAGGGCTGCAGTGTTCCAGGGCTGCAGTGTTCTGATCCAGGGCTGCAGTGTTCCAGGGCTGCAGTGTTCTGATCCAGGGCTGCAGTGTTCCAGGGCTGCAGTGTTCTGATCCATGCCTTCAATGTTCCAGGGCTGCAGTGTTCTGATCCAGGCCTTCAGTGTTCCAGGGCTGCAGTGTTCTGATCCATGCCTTCAATGTTCCAGGGCTGCAGTGTTCTGATCCAGGGCTGCAGTGTTCTGATCCAGGGCTGCAGTGTTCCAGGGCTGCAGTGTTCTGATCCAGGGCTGCAGTGTTCCAGGGCTGCAGTGTTCTGATCCATGCCTTCAATGTTCCAGGGCTGCAGTGTTCTGATCCAGGCCTTCAGTGTTCCAGGGCTGCAGTGTTCTGATCCAGGCCTTCAGTGTTCCAGGGCTGCAGTGTTCTGATCCAGGGCTGCAGTGTTCTGATCCAGGCCTTCAGTGTTCCAGGGCTGCAGTGTTCTGATCCAGGGCTGCAGTGTTCCAGGGCTGCAGTGTTCCAGGGCTGCAGTGTTCTGATCCAGGGCTGCAGTGTTCCAGGGCTGCAGTGTTCCAGGGCTGCAGTGTTCTGATCCAGGGCTGCAGTGTTCCAGGGCTGCAGTGTTCCAGGGCTGCAGTGTGCTGATCCAGGGCTGCAGTGTTCCAGGGCTGCAGTGTTCTGATCCAGGCCAAGGACACCTGCCGCTGGCTGTTCAGAGGCGCGTGCAGCGGTGAAAACAGTTATGACCAGCTGTTTTTATCTTTTATCGTTATTTTTACAGGTTTGAAAAGTGTAGCTGGTGCTAAGTGTACTGGGTGCAGCTCTCTCTGTACGGGGAAGAAAAGGAAGGATGAAAAAAAAAAAGTAATAAAAAAAGCTGGATGCTAAAGGTTTATTGAGTGTCGGTCCTTATGAGCGGCGCCTCCTCCTGCGCTGCTTCTTCACCTTCCCCGCTCGCTTGCGGCGATGGGGGACGGGCTTTGCTGAGGTTTGGCGTCTGCGTTTTGCCATAGTGACTGTTGCCGTGACAACAGATCACCATAACACACACATAGGACTGAGTGATGACACTGCGCACGACCCGGCGCTGAAGTTTGAAAAGCTTTATTTATACAAACAAAGACAATACAGGACTAACTCAGACACACAACTGAGTAATGGCGAAAATGTTAGAGCCATTTTTACATAGTACCGGGAACAAACAGGAAGTGATCCAGCACCAGGAGGCGGGACTTCCTGTTACTCCTTACGGAGTCGCCTTTTAACAACAATTGAGTTTTACCATTTTACTTTTACATGTATGTGCGTGTATTGTATTTTATTCTGCTTCTTCTGTTGCTACTCCTGCTGCTACTGCTGCTACTACTACTGCTACTGCTGCTGCGGCTGCAGTTTGTAGTTTCACTTTCGTTTCATGTTCCGGCTGCCGCTGAAGCCGGGGATGTTGTCGTCCTCACTGTTTGTGTGTTGTACAATAAAGATGATGTAATCCAGGCTCGGGAAGTTGCTAATGTTAGCATACGCATCAGATCGCAAATTAAACCCGACGGCTCCGTGGGAGGGGAGCGTCGGGGAAATGAGAAACCTGTGAGCGGGTTGGGGGCGGGGCTAAACACTCAAACCTGCAGAGACGGGTATTGACCAGGGGGGGAGGGTCCCAGCTCAAAAGAGGCCAAAATGACGTGCGCTGACATGCTGCAATACCACCCCGGGCCTGTGGGGGTGGACCCAGAAGTAGAATTAGCCAATGCTAACATATAGCATTGGCAGACCTCTCAAAAACGTCTTTACAGGATGGACCAAAAGTTGGCTCTTGGCCCAAAGCTCCGTTCCACATGTGTGTCAATGCTGAGTGTTCTGGACCAGTCTAGTTTAGTCGCTGTGGACTTTTGAAATCTCTTGTTCAAATGAATGGAGCTGTGCCGGCTGACGCATGCGCAGATGCGTTTTTTCACAATTATCTTGTGGGTGGGACCACTCACGGCCATTTTGGATTGCTCCAGTAGAGCACATTTTTTGGCCCATTAGTTAGAACGACGGAGATAGGTGTGACTCTGTCCATTAATATATACAGTCTATGGTATTGACCCCTTGCATGTGACGTCCCGGCCACGCCCACTCTCCATGACAGACGGCAGAAGTCTAACTGGAGCCTACGGACACCTGACCAAAACAACCTGTTTCAGCGCATTACAGCCAAAACTGTGACATTTTGCAGTGCGGTTGATTATACTAACAGGCACGGACATAAGCTTTTTTATCTGATACCTGCTCGTCATGACGACAGAAGACGACGATGGCGGCAATCAACCAAAAGGACTGGGACCCAAGTACTCCCTAATCTGCAGTGAACACTTTTTACAAGATAAAGCAATCACAAGTTTGTATTTATTTTATATCCATTAATTTGGAGGACAATGACACACGTCAAACATGTCTCTTACTACTGTCCTGTCTGTGCGCTGCAACATTGACATTTTTATCTTTTAAGTCAATTGCGTGTTTCACTATTTTCCTCTCCGTCAGTACGTATCATGTTTGGCTGTAGACAGAAAAGCCACAGAAAAGTGGACTATTGCTAATGTCCACAAAATGTACATATAAATCTGCTCCAGTGTGAGGGGATGCTTTGTTAACGATAATGATAAAGATCATGTAGGGTGAATTTGGGCAAAAATAGACATTTTATTTAATCGATAAAATTGACTGTGGGAGAAGGTACGGGTCAACATCCAGTTAGACCCTTAACTTCTCCAAATACCGCTCTTTGTGAGCCCTGACCTGATGTCCTACTTCCACCTATAACGTAATCCAACATGTGCCTGAAGCAGCCACTTCTCGACAGTGGAGATGATTGTGGACTTCAGGAAGAGCACTGTCCCCCCACCCCCACCCTCCGTGATGGACTCCCCCATCACCTCTGTGGAGTCCTTCCGTTTCCTGGGCACCACCATCACCCAGGACCTCAAGTGGGAGCCGACCATCAGCTCCCTCATCAAGAAGGCCCAGCAGAGGATGTACTTCCTGCGGCAGCTCAGGAAAGCCAAGCTGCAGTTCTACACGGCCATCATCGAGTCCATCCTCACCTCCTCCGTCACCTCCTCCGTCACCTCCTCCATCACCTCCTCCATCACCTCCTCCATCACCTCCTCCGTCACCGTGTGGTTCGCTGGAGCCACAGTCAGGGACAAACAGAGACTACAGTGCATTGTGCGCTCTGCAGAGGAAGTGATCGGCCGCAGCCTTCCATCGCTGCAGGACCTGTACGTCGCCCGAGCTCGAGGCCGGGCTGGTCGTATCACAGCCGACCCCTCTCACCTGCACATGGACTATTCCAACCACTCCCCTCTCACCTGCACATGGACTATTCCAACCACTCACCTCTCACCTGCACATGGACTATTCCAACCACTCCCCTCTCACCTGCACATGGACTATTCCAACCACTCACCTCTCACCTGCACATGGACTATTCCAACCACTCCCCTCTCACCTGCACATGGACTATTCCAACCACTCCCCTCTCACCTGCACATGGACTATTCCAACCACTCCCCTCTCACCTGCACATGGACTATTCCAACCACTCCCCTCAGGCAGGAGGCTGCGGTCCATCAGGACTAGAACCTCACGCCACAAGAACAGTTTCTTCCCCTCTGCTGTTGGACTCTTGAACACTTCTTAACCTGTCCCCGCCCTTTATAAAGTCACTTTACTGCCCATCATACGTCACTTTACTTCACTGTACTGCTGTCACCTTACATTGTGTGCACCATGTGCACTTGTATATTGTAAATAGTAACTGTAACTCTATTTTAAATTTAAATCTATTCTTTAGAAGTGTTTTTTATTCTTATTTTTATTATCTCTTTTTGACTGTTGCACTGCGCCAAAGCAATTTCCTAGTCTGTGACCTCCTGTTACTTACGTGGCAATAAAAATGATTCTGATTTAGGAGAGGAAGCTCCGTTTTTAAGAGTTGTGTCCGTTTTGCTCTCGCAGCAATGCTAATGCTAATGCTAGTTTCCAATACTTCCGCCGTAAGCTCCTTCACAATCACGTGACTGGATGACGTTGATGCATCTGGTCAATAGCTCCTTTAAGCTAGTTGGGACGTCGTCGCTGTGTTAGAAAGGCACAAGGTTAGATTAGACTGTGCATATTCTATCCTGTTTGACGATCATCTGCTTATTTAATTTTTTATATTTATTTCAATGCCTTTATTTTGTATGGAAGCCCGTTTCCGCCATGTAAAAAAAAAAAAAAGCATACAGAAAGTCAAAAATTTGAGTTTAAAACTCAAAATTACGTCTTTTAAAAGTACAAATTTTGACTTTAAAAGTCAAAATTACGACGAAATTTTGACTTTTAAAGTCAAAATTTAAAAGTCAAAATTACGAGTTTTGAACTGCGCATGTGCAGTTGAAAACTCGTATGTGTTGTTGTCTGGAACGGTCTCTGGACGTCCTTCACCTGCAGATTATGAAGATATTGCCGACAGTGACCACTGCATCCGTGAAGAAGCCAAAAATAATGTTGTTTGATTGATTCTGTAAAACTTTCCTGTTTAAGCCCCAGACCGCGGTCGTAGGACGCAGGAGGAGCTGTCTTTTTATTTATTTATGTTAAATTCAATTTACATATATACAACGTTTAAATCAAACGACTTCTTATTTCGACATAGTAACAAATAATGTGAGCAATGCGTTTTTATAATAAATCAAAGGAAAATGAGCCATCGAGACATTCCAATCCAATCTGCTATACCCCACTCTGACCAGACGATGGCGCTGAGAGGGGTCCACACGGAGCGAGTCTGTCCACGGCTGAAAGGATGTGCTTTCTACGTGTTGAGTACGGGGTTTTATTCATGCATCTATAATGGGTTTAAGTCCCTTTTCAAAGACCCTCACTGTTATCTGCGGAGTTATTTCTCCGGTTTGTTGCTAAAAGAGTCGTGGGCTTTATTTTGTCACAATAAAATAATCAGACAAAGTACTTATTCCCTGTATGTCTCTGTGTTCTTGCTCATACGCCAACAACTTTACCCGCACGCTCCATCAGCTCACCCCCGCGTGCACGCAAACACGTCACATACTCTTCAATGCACTGATCGCAATTCCAAAAGGGTAATAATGTCAGTGCCTCTGTCTGTGGTTCTCCTGCCTCTGTCTGTGGTTCTCCTGCCTCTGTCTGTGGTTCTCTTGCCTCTGTCTGTGGTTCTCCTGCCTCTGTCTGTGGTTCTCCTGCCTCTGTCTGTGGTTCTCCTGCCTCTGTCTGTGGTTCTCCTGCCTCTGTCTGTGGTTTACCTGCCTCTGTCTGTGGTTCTCCTGCCTCTGTCTGTGGTTTACCTGCCTCTGTCTGTGGTTCACCTGCCTCTGTCTGTGGTTCTCCTGCCTCTGTCTGTGGTTCTCCTGCCTCTGTCTGTGGTTCACCTGCCTCTGTCTGTGGTTCTCCTGCCTCTGTCTGTGGTTCTCCTGCCTCTGTCTGTGGTTTACCTGCCTCTGTCTGTGGTTTACCTGCCTCTGTCTGTGGTTCTCCTGCCTCTGTCTGTGGTTTACCTGCCTCTGTCTGTGGTTTACCTGCCTCTGTCTGTGTTTCTCGTGCCTCTGTCTGTGGTTTACCTGCCTCTGTCTGTGGTTCTCTTGCCTCTGTCTGTGGTTCTCCTGCCTCTGTCTGTGGTTCTCCTGCCTCTGTCTGTGGTTCTCCTGCCTCTGTCTGTGGTTCTCCTGCCTCTGTCTGTGGTTTACCTGCCTCTGTCTGTGGTTCTCCTGCCTCTGTCTGTGGTTTACCTGCCTCTGTCTGTGGTTCACCTGCCTCTGTCTGTGGTTCTCCTGCCTCTGTCTGTGGTTCTCCTGCCTCTGTCTGTGGTTCACCTGCCTCTGTCTGTGGTTCTCCTGCCTCTGTCTGTGGTTCTCCTGCCTCTGTCTGTGGTTTACCTGCCTCTGTCTGTGGTTTACCTGCCTCTGTCTGTGGTTCTCCTGCCTCTGTCTGTGGTTTACCTGCCTCTGTCTGTGGTTTACCTGCCTCTGTCTGTGTTTCTCGTGCCTCTGTCTGTGGTTTACCTGCCTCTGTCTGTGGTTCTCCTGCCTCTGTCTGTGGTTTACCTGCCTCTGTCTGTGGTTCACCTGCCTCTGTCTGTGGTTCTCCTGCCTCTGTCTGTGGTTCTCCTGCCTCTGTCTGTGGTTCTCCTGCCTCTGTCTGTGGTTCTCTCCTCTCTGTCTGTGGTTCACCTGCCTCTGTCTGTGGTTCACCTGCCTCTGTCTGTGGTTCTCCTGCCTCTGTCTGTGGTTTACCTGCCTCTGTCTGTGGTTCTCCTGCCTCTGTCTGTGGTTTACCTGCCTCTGTCTGTGGTTTACCTGCCTCTGTCTGTGGCTCTCCTGCCTCTGTCTGTGGTTCTCCTGCCTCTGTTTGTGGTTCACCTGCCTCTGTCTGTGGTTCTCCTGCCTCTGTCTGTGGTTTACCTGCCTCTGTCTGTGGTTCTCCTGCCTCTGTCTGTGGTTCACCTGCCTCTGTCTGTGGTTCTCCTGCCTCTGTCTGTGGTTCTCCTGCCTCTGTCTGTGGTTCTGTGTCTGTGGTTTACCTGCCTCTGTCTGTGGCTCTCCTGCCTCTGTCTGTGGTTCTCCTGCCTCTGTCTGTGGTTTACCTGCCTCTGTCTGTGGTTCACCTGCCTCTGTCTGTGGTTCTCCTGCCTCTGTCTGTGGTTCTCCTGCCTCTGTCTGTGGTTCTCCTGCCTCTGTCTGTGGTTCTCCTGCCTCTGTCTGCGGACCTCCCTCACTGTCCTGTAATCGTGAACGGTCTCTGTCAGTAACAATATCATTCAGTGCATTTCTGGTGCATCCATCGATAGCCGTGATACTGACCAGACGTCACCAGTTGATGCTCAATGACTTTGAACAGCCGCATGTGTTTTATTATTAATCTTCCACAGTCCGTTTAGGATAAACTAAATAGAGGCTTCTGAAGCGGATTCTAATCATAAACGGAGAGACCGTTTGCATTTTAACGCGATTACTACCACAACATTATTTCTGCTACTTCATGGATGTGTTCACTGTCTGTAGGAAAAATCTTCACATAATCTGCAGGTAGAGGATGACCCATGGTCATGGATCTATAACAGGGATGACCCATGGTCATGGATCTATAACAGGGATGACCCATGGTCATGGATCTATAAAAATTTTGACTTTTAAAATCGAAATTTTGACTTTTAAAGTCAAAATTTTGACTTTCTGTAGGCTTTTTTTTTTTTTACATGGCGGAAACTAAAAAAGTTAAAAAGGAGGAGCGCTACGTCCGCGCACTAACTTCTCTCCGGAGACCTCTCTCGCTCACTTCCGTCAATAGAAGCAGCGTGACTTGTAGTACGGAGAGAAGTTAGTGCGCTGACGTAGCGCTCCTCAGATTACTACACCTCACAATATAGTACCCGTTTTATCCGCTGAGAAAATCGACTGTTAGATTTCTGTGTTACTATTCTTTGCAGTGTAACACGTCACGTAACTATATACATTTAATAGGGAACACTTGGAAGAGTTTGGTAGCTTCTAGCGGGAGCTACCTTTTGGGTCCTATACAGTATACAGAGGAGGCTGCGGTTGTGCTCCCGCTTTTGCTCCGTTTGCATGACAGAGCGCACGGACTAGGACCAGACAGGTACATATTAACTAGTCTAAGGTGAGGTAAGAACATATGTCAGTATGTAAAAACGGTGAACTATTCCTTTAATAACTACACACGGAGGAGCTCAGATTCTGTTTTCAACAGTTAATAGATTAACAAACCCCCCTGTTCAAATGCCATTAGAGCTAACTTCCAAACGTAAATGTAATGAGTTTGCACATTTTTTCAATGACAAGGTTCAAGGCATCAAAAACGCCATTGTCTCCAATCCACAGATAACCATCCAACAGCCAGAAAGGCTCTCTGAGCTAACTCACTTTGCACCTGTAAATGATAAAACTGTCCAAGAGATAATCTCCAGTTTGAGCTCCTCCACATGCAGCTTGGATGTACTACCCACTAGATTTCTAAAGTCTGTTCTGAGCAGTCTTTTACCTTCACTCACACAGATAGTAAACATGTCCCTTAATTTCTGGAATATTCCCAAAAGCCCTGAAAACTGCAGTCATCAGGCCCC